ATGTAAAAGATACAAGGATCTTGAAGAAATAATTGTACCCCCATATTCATAGCAACATTCTTCACAATAGCAAAAAGGTAGAAGCAAAGGTATCAAGGGAGGACAGAATAAACAAAATATGGTATATACACTGGAATATTATTCAGTGCCCCCACTTGCTACAATATGAACTTGGAGGACACTATGCTATGTGAAGAAAGTCAAAGACAAAACGGCAAATACCGTATGATCCCATTTGTATAAGGTGTGAAAGTGGTCAAATTCACAGGATTAGAAAATAGAGTGGTGGTTGCCAGGAGTTGCAGAGCAGGCATGGGTAGAGTTTCAGTTTCGCAAGATGAAAATGTTCTGGAGATGGATGGTGGTGATCATTGCACAACACTGTGAATGTACTTAATAGTGTGGTAAAGGCCTGGTGTGGGTGCCGGGAAGGACTGGATGGGATCAATGGGGGGGAAAGGAGGATATATGTAATACTTTCAACAATAAAGATTTTTTTAAAAAGTCATGGCTAATAATAATAATAATGAAATGGTCCATGAAAAAAGAATGATGGTTGAATTGAGGCACATACCTGGTAATTTACTATACTTCTGGGGCTCTGTAAAAGTAAAATTGGACAGCACTTAAATGGAATAATGTTTCTACAATCCATTAAAGAATGTTTAAACATTTTTCTGGGAACTGAAGGGAGTTCTGAATAGGCAGTTTGGGAGTGATGATAAAGCATCCTTTGGGTTATAACGCATGAGAAATTTTGTCAAGCACACATATCTTAAAGCCACATAATAGTAAATGCAAGCAAGATTCTTCCTGTGAACATTTCTTAAGTTAAGGGGCAGCATAAAATGACATGGGGCTTTAACATCATTAAATTTGGGTTTGACCTCGAGCTTCCACCGCTATTGTCATGAACCTTAAGTAAGTCCCTTCACCCTCCTGAGTTTACGTTTCTTTATCTAATAACAAGAATAATCACAATAAAATGGGACCCAGCGGAAGGGTGTAGCGAGGCATCCGTAGGCGTTCTGTAAGCCCTGCAAATGCCAGCCTGTTACCCTGAGTTCAGTGCTTCCTGCGGTGGAGCTGGGAGTGTGCACCTGGGCCCCTTCACTGGAGATTTCGGGGAAAGCTGCTCTGGTCTCAGGCCTTGGGCTCCGTGGGCATCCCTGGCTGAAGAGCATGACCCTCCATGAAGGCAGGGGAGCCGGGCGCCCTGCAGCGGGAAGGCCAGGCTGGGAGCACCCGAGGACGCTGTGGGTGGTCCCCGGCCATTTAAGTGAAATGTCAGCCCGGAAAACAAAACCGCACCTTCCCGCCTCTTCCCCAAGGCACCTGCCGAGGGGTCCTTTCCTGAACCAGTTTTGTCTGAAATCCTAACATTCGAGAAGCCTGAGGAGGCCACCGGTGCTGCTGTGGAGAGTTCTCTCTCGAAAATCAGTGCCTGGGAGCAAGGGCCCCGCTCAGAGGACCTGAGGCGGCTGAGGTGCCAAGGCTGGACTCCGGGGCGCCCCGTCGCCCGGAAGCCATGTCTCCATACCCCCTCCACCCTGGGCTCAGCTCCCAAACCGCCATGGTTTTCTTACTGTCGGTCGGATTCGCAAAGGGCACCACTCCTCCATTCCAGCTCCAACTGTCAACGGCTGCTGCAAAGGGCACCAACTCCCGCATTCCACCTCCAACTGTCAAAACCTCCCACAAAGGGCACCAACTCCTCCATGTGTCCAGGCCAATGGTCTGGCAGGGGGTGGGCAGCAGGCAGGCAAGGACAATGCTGCACTCGACCCTCCCTGGTGGCCCCTGAGGGTCCCCAGCTGTTACCCTACAAGGGTGTCGTATGGGGGAGCCAGATGCTTTTTGTCCTTCCAGACTCCATCCTCACCCCCAAGTAAAATGATCCTTGGGAGGCCTCGAGGGCTGGCTACGGGGTTC